ATAGTGAAAGATTTGTACTTTCACACTGCAAGATTTCGTTAATATTGCCTTACAACAAAGTAGAATTACTTCATCTGGTCATTTTTCCTACCTCCTCTACCTGAATGAAGATTAGCCTTGCAACTTTCTTCTTAACAAATTACCTGCTTTCAGGTAATCACACTATTCTTTGCAAGGATGACTACTCTAGTTATTTGTGTATTTTGTATAGTTGATTGGTGACCTTTGCTAGATTGTTATATATGATTGACCATTTTTGTCAATTACATTTTGTCAATATACATTTTATCAGTATACTACATGATTTAGAAATATTGCTGAATCTTTGTACTTCAATTTTGAAGATAATGTCAACACTTGTTCTCCCAACTCACAATATTTGCAAGTTAAACAACCATAGAAGAAAGATTCAAATGTAAAAAATGATAAGAGATAAGAAACCAAGTTTTCTGCTTTTAAATTCTTGGATGTTTCTATTCTAGTTCCATCCATTTCTAAAGAAGAGGGAACTGTACAATCTTTCCCTGCTGGAAGTGTACTTGAATCAGAATGGAGACGTAGCAGCAGATCTGCAGATCTTTAGTAGCGTGGTTCTCCCCAAGGAGGATCCCATCAAGAAGCAATTGGGGACTTTTGAAAGACAGAGACTTACAATCAACCAAGATGCTTTGTCACAGTTAAAGTTGCTCAACAAGGTGGGGAAAATATTGATGTCTTTTCTCTTTTTTCCAAAGTTGTCTCAAGTGGGCTAAACCCAGTCAAAAAAGTGGGTAACCTTCACTAAGAAATGAATGTGTGGAGTAAAACCTCTATAATTTTCTTAGGCAGATAAGCATACTTCAATTTTATTAACCAAGGTTTCCCTTCTGGTGCTGTCATGTTGAACCCTGTTGTAAGCTGATCCAAAATGAGATATGGGGGGATTATTATTTAGGAGACGAATCATTGCCTTTTAGTGTCCCTTTGGCAGTTTAGTGTCACCATAAAACTGGTGAGACAGGGCCTCATATGCTGGAGATTTTGGTGTTAATAGCTTCAGGTTCACCAGATTTTTGTATTCAAATATCAAAGGTGAAGGCAATTCTGTTGACCAGTCCCTGAGTTCAGATTTGGACTGAATCCAATGAAATGGAATCAAGACTGGATGGAGGTCCTGTTGGTCCAATAGTTAAATAAGCTTCATCTTGCCTTGATTGGAGTCAGGGGTCTCCCAAAATTGCAGGCTCTTAGTCTGGGATGTTTTAATCAGCTGAGAACATGCTTATAGCTGCCTCTCTCTAACCCCACTGAGATAGTGGAATTTAGGAAGGAGGTCCAAGGCTTTCAGTTCACATGAAATAATAATGACTGGTCTGATGTGAACTCCTTTATGGATTGATTGATTAAATTTATTTGATGCCCATCTCACCATGATAATGGCTTGAAAACTGAAGTACTGAAGCATCATTTTGGTGCAAAAAAATCTTGATATCAGAAATAATAAGGGACAAATTCGAGGGAAATATTACTTAGATTTGGGCATTTGCTTGTAAGAATGCACTTCATCTGAAAATCCCTTGAATGCAACTGATTATCTTGATTGTTAGCTGCCTTAGGACACACTGAGAGGCTACTAATCAAACTAATAATAAATATGAGTGCGTATTTCCCTGTCAGATTGTCTCACCTAATTGTATTCTCTTAACAGAAAGGACCTTGTGTTGGATACCTTGTGTTGAATATCCCTTTCACACATAAGACTCACACTCATGACCCATGTGTTGCACCAAAAGATCCCCGACTCATCCTTATTGAGGGACACGTTCTCATGACCTCACCTCCATCTCACCTCATTATAGTTTTAGAAAATAGTCAGCCAGTTTTAGTTTTAGTTCACCAGCATGAAAAACATATAAATTGAACAAATATATATACAAATAAAGATCATCTTTAGAACTGACAGCCGTTATTTGTAAAGAAATTTTCCTTTTTATTTTAATTGGGAAATAATTTTGGACTGCTTTAAAAGGGAAGCAGCTTTGCAATGTTTTATGTACTCCAGAAGAATCCTTTCCAGATCCTACTGGTCAGAAGTTATTTTCTTCATCAGAGTTTTATTTTATTTCAATAAATCTAATGGAATAAAAATTAATAAATCTTTTATGATAAACTTCACTCCAAAATTAGTATTTCTGGATATCTTATTTTAAATTCAAGCATGTATGAAGAATGGAGGAATGCATGTTAATTCCACTATGAGGAGGAACCCACCGGTTGCCACTTAATGGTTAAATCTTTTCTCAATTTCATCCCTCCAAACTTTGTTAAGTAGAAACGTACTTTACCATGTGGAAGTGATCAGAGATTTCATATTTGCCTATGTGAAGCCAAGAGACGACTTGGCTGATGTTCATGTCTACCTCCATCTTACATGGATGGTGAGTCCTAACATATTTTCTTTGGCATTTCTTCTTTTTCTGTTTAGTCTCTGCCTCAGTCTAAATGTGTGGAAAAATGCCATCCTGGATTTGTCAAGCAGGCTCGAGAAGGAGAGCCATTTTGCTGCTATGACTGCATTCCTTGTCCAGAGGGGACCATCTCCACTCGGGAAGGTGGGTGACACCACAGGGAAACTTTGATCAATATGCATGTTAAAGACACATGTAAGTTTGATTGCTAAGTTCTCTATTTTAATGGTGTCCAATTTCTTCCCTAAATGGGATTTATAAGAAAAATATCTTGAATGATGAGATAGAAAGAAGGATGTTGTGGATTTCATGGGAAATCTCTTTCATTTCACAGTTTGGATGTTTCCGTCCATATTTATCTTTCTTAGAAATATCTGTAATTCTTTGTAACTTGAGGAATGGCTTTAGATCAATGGGTTTTGTTTAGCTAAACCAACTTTACATTACAGGCTGATAGATGCATCGAATAATCACTCATTTAATCAGTTAATCTTTACTAAGATCATATATCCTTATAAACTGCAATATCTAACTGGGAGGAACAATAGAGGGAGAGATGTTGGGTTAAAGGAACAATGAAAACCAAACATAGGACTCAACATAAAATCATCAAGTAGATATTTCCTTTCTACCTTTTCTTATCTTTCCAATTTTCTTTCTTGTTAAATACTGTACTGTGATATAACACCCGCCCCCCCCCCAAAAAAAGTAATATAGTTGTGTTCCTGAAAGGAAAAAAATTCTAACATGCAGTATTGGGATTAGAATGAACAGAAAGAAGAGGAAAACAGAGAACTAATAAAAGACCAATCTACTAAATATCCTTTGATACCAATGTTGAATTCATTCTCTTTAAAATTTTGCCAGATTGAGAGAATATGGAAACATATTGCTTCACCTTCTCATTTTTACAGGGTAAAAATACAAATAACACACTCAGTTCCTGAATTTATTTATGAATTAATCTTCGTTAAGATGTTTTTTCAAATTTATTTATCAGGTTTATATGGCTATGTCACACAAAGTGACTCTTGGTGGGATACAATTAAACCAATCATAAAAATTAAAACATTGAGGTATAAATGCTAAGAAAGCAAGAGAGAAGTACATCAAGATGGTACTTACCATGCAACCAGCACACGGGGCCCTGTTACCAGGAGATCCCCAGGACCATTGAAAGAATCACGTTTGAAGGAATTTCTAGAAGGCCTAATAGTTAGGAGACTCTCTCAATTTCAGGATATTCAATGGTTTTTTTTGTGAAGGGGACTGTACAACCTGTCCTTAACTAGTTAGTGTTGCAACCATTCTTGAGTGGTTCTCCATGTATCCAACCATGTTAGACAACTTTTATTCTCTGTCCAGTATTTTTGGAGCAGTGTATTGAGAGTATGGTTAGTGGGTCAATCATCAGTAACTGTGTTTAAAAGTTTTTGGGATAAACATATAATAATAATAATAATAATAATAATAATAATAATAATAATAATAATAATAATAATAATAATAATAAAGTTGGAAGGGACCTTGGAGGTCATCTGTCAAGACTGCTAACATCAGATGTTCTTGCTTTCCATATATGAAGAAGCAAACATGTTTTATTTATCCTGCATATCACTTCTAGAGTTAAAGTCAGACAATGTTAGAATAGTGGGTGGGAAAGTAAGATAGTTAACCACAACAATATTTCAGTACAGCATTGCCAAGGTCAGCTGTAACCAGAGGAGGGAGGGAAAGTTCACACTTCAAACTAATTGGAGAACGTGATTGATGACTATAAAATGAAGGAGTGAGTTATGCTTTGTTATGGGTGATTGGGGGTGGGAGGATTCAGTTTTTGGCTTCATTATGTACGTGCCAAAACTTTGCAGCAATAAAAGGATTATTTAAGGTAAATAAAGCCTCAAAGTTCTTTGAAAACCTGCCTCCTTCGGAACCATGACATCATCGAGTTGAAAAAAAAGAAATAAAATATTAAATAAATAAAAAAACAAAGAACTCAAAGGGCAGTCTAGATGCAGCACTAGGTATTTTTCTGCCATCAGTTTTCTGTTTCTATCTTTTTATCCCATACTCATAGGGTTGCTCTTGAAAACCACCTGGAATTTTTAAAATGGTCCAGAATGCAAAGGCATGCACAATGTTGAGTTTCCGTGTGTTCGTCCATAGAACATCCCTGCTATGTAGGCTCCACAGAATCCCAGTTTCTTTCCAGGTGCAATTAAATTCACATTTCAAACCCTCCATGAGACAGAACCAAGGTATCTGCAGAGTTTCCTCTCGTTGAGGATAACTCCTTGTCCCACCAGAGCAGGTAAAATTGGCATTCAAAAAATCTATTCCTTAAAAGATTCCCACTTTATGGATCTTCTTTTAATTTTATATTTTTGTTGTTGTTGTACTTTTTATAGTTGTGTGTACTGGGGATTTTGTTGTTGTAGTTTAAGTATATTCCATTTACTGAGACTTTTCTGTCTCTCTGTATCACATCTTATCCAAACTTTTTCTTGAAATTTGAAAGACTATAAAAGAAATATTACTTTCTTTTCTCAGATACCACAAAATGCACCAAGTGCCCAGATGATCAATATCCAACTGAGAACCGAGTCCAGTGTATCCCCAAAAAAATAACCTTCCTGTCCTATGAAGAACATCTCAGCAGCATCCTCATCTCCTTTACTCTACTGTTGTTCCTAATCACGGGCTTTGTTTTAATCATATTCATCAAATACCTTGAAACTCCTATTGTCAAAGCCAACAACCGGGATCTCTCCTACATCCTCCTTGTCTCCCTTCTGCTTTGCTTCTTATCCTCCTTGTTCTTCATTGGCCAACCAAGGAAAGCCACCTGCCTTCTCCGACAAACAGTGTTCAGCATTGTCTTCTCAGTAGCCGTGTCCTCTGTGTTGGCCAAAACAATCACAGTAGTGCTGGCATTCCTAGCCTCAAAACCAGGCAATAAAGTGAAAAGATGGTTGGGGAAGAGCTTGGCCAATTCCATCATCCTTTCTTGTTCTACTGTCCAAATTCTGATCTGTGGCATATGGTTGGGACTTTCTCCCCCATTTCCTGACTCTGATCTGCACTCCCAGCCTGAAGAGATTATCCTTCAGTGCAACGAAGATTCTGTCACCATGTTTTATGTTGTCCTTGGCTACATGGGCTTCCTTGCTGCCATTTGCTTCATTGTGGCTTTCCTGGCCAGGAACCTTCCTGGAGCTTTCAATGAAGCCAAGCTGATCACCTTCAGCATGCTGGTCTTCTGCAGTGTCTGGATTTCCTTCCTCCCCACCTATCTGAGCACTAAAGGAAAATACATGGTGGCCGTGCAGGTCTTCTCCATCTTGGCCTCCGGTGCTGGACTATTGAGCTGCATCTTCTTCCCCAAGTGCTACATTATCATCCTGAGACCAGATCTAAACACTAAGGAACATCTAATGGCAAAATCAAGGGAATGATTGTGAAATTTTTTCTTAGGCTGGTAACTTCTAATTATCCATTATTATTGGTTATAATTGGTTATAATAATCACAACTGCTATATCTTCTTCTCTGTCTTCAGGAATATTTGAAATCTTAAATCGTGTTCCGCTTTCTCCATTTCTAAAACTGGCACAGCACCTTCTAGGTTTTGATTTGCTTATTCTAATTTTTCATTTTCTTACATTAGTACTTCCATTTTTATGTAAATATCATCTGATTTATTTTCCATCTTCTGAATTCTTTGTTCATTTTTAACAATCATTTGCTGATGGGCTTCAAATTGTGTCTTTATAGCCAACATTTGTTTGTTTAATTTATCAAAATTACTGTTTGTCTTTTCATGATTTCTCTGTATTGATTCTTGAATTAATTTTAATGTGGTTTGCATCTCAGTTTGAGCAGTGCTTATTTTCTCATGCTGCAACATTGTTTCAATAGATCCCTGGCTTGTTGGGTTAGATGTTCTGACAGAAGGTGCAGAGGAAGTTTATATCATAAGTCTAGTGAGATTTGATATACTCATTTTTCAAGCCAACTATCTTAGGCTAAAATCCAAACCGTGAAAAGAGCCAACTATTTAGGCTAGATACAAATTCTCTAGGAGAAAAAACAAGAGAAAAAAAAGAGAGAGAAAAAAAAAAGCCAACTGTTTTAGGCTAAAACCCAACCATAAAATTGAGCCAAGTACTTTAGGCTAAATCCAAATCCTCCAGTCAAATCACAAATATAAAATCCCTGCTGTATTCAAATAATTCCTGTTTTAGTTATATCTAGAGTCAACAGATATAATTCTAGAGTGTCTTTCCTCATGCACAGTCATATAAAGGCACTTTGTTTACACCAGGTATTGTTTCAAGGTAAAACACTTTTCAAATTCTTTTATCATTTGGTATTACTGTAGTATCTCCTTTTACCACTAGATGTCCTCCTACACTGTATTGTCTATATCGGTTTTAAAAGATTGTTACAAAGTTTTCTTTTAAAGTTCTTTGGAATTTATTTACCCTGGAAATTAAATCTAAAAAGATTTTCCATGTCCTGTAGGTTAAGCAGTTTTTCTTTAAGTCGATCTAAGTTCCATTTTTAAGTATTCTTTTATATTCCTTAAATTCCTTCTCCCTCTTGTAATTGCTAGCCACTTTTACCTATCTTCTTCCCTAGTTCTTCTGGGGTCTTTACTTCATAGATTTTTCCCAATCAGGGAATCTGAGTCCTTAAGGAAAAGGAATAAAAAACAGGCTCACCTAGTTTCAGCACGCTGTTAACAATCAGCTGTTTGGTGGAGCACAGCAGCTCCTCGCTTTTTTTTTCCAGCTGATGGTGACTTGGGCTGCCTGTGCTTACCAGGCAGCCTTTCTTCCGTCCTTCAGAAAGCTTTCTTCAGTCCGTCTGGACCAACCATCTGGTCCAGAGTCCCGAAGCTTCCCTCCTTCTTTGTTTCCCCTCCAGGGCAACTTTCAAACTAAGGAGGGAGGGAGGGAGGTGGGTAGGTGCTGGGTGTGAATGGGGAGGGAGCCTCCCTGGCTTGTGAGGGGCTCAAACCGGCTCCAATCCTGGAGAGACCACCAGCTCCAGCAGCTTCCCAGCCACAGAAGAGGGGAAGCAGGAATAGGAGGTCTCCGAGAGGTCCCCTCCATCTGGCAGGGCTTAGAGAGATTGAGGAGGGGGGCCCTGCCCCTTCCCCTCCCTGGGATCTGCCCACCCTCCTCTCAAACTGGTTCTGGCTTCGGCCTGTTTGGAACATGGCTCAAGATCCCAAAACAAACAAACTCACTTGGAATTCCAGCAACAAAGTTTTATTTCAAAAGAAGCATTTGCAAAGACTTGGTGAGCTGAAACATACGGAGGAGTCCAGCCACACCTTCAAGAGCTGTTTCACACATTTTTATATCCTACCCCCGAGGCAGACTCCCCCCTCCCCTATCGCACTCAACGCCCCTTCCCTAATCATTCGATAAACTATCCGGACCACCTAAAAATACTGTCCCCCTCCCCACATTCCAGGAAGCCCCTTTCAGCACATTCTATCTATCACCATCTAATATTCTGTAAACAAAGCTCAATTCTTATAATGATCTCTACAGTTGTTTGTGGTTATACCTTTGGCGCCTTAAGCTCTAAACTTTATCCTCAGTTTTTGTGTTTCCTCTTCTTGCGGTTTCAGTTAGCTAGCAACCTCTGCTTTTCTTATTTGTCTGAATTTATGACTTTCAGGTGGCTTCTTCTGTCCACCTTTAGACTCATTAGAAATTTCTCATTACTAATCTACTCCTTTCAGGCCTAAACTAGGCGGGATGGTCAATCCAGGGAGGGGGAGGGGAGAAGGGGGGACTCTCCTGAGGGGCAGGAAAGAGGAGGAGGAAGAGGAAGAAAGGAAAAATTACTGCATTTTCCTACAATCTAAATTTTATTCTTTTATTGCAAAGGGAAGGGATTCGGAGGAAGAGTGATGGAGATGAAGCTGCTGTGGGTTCAAAGCATAGTTGGATGTCTGGAGTGACAGGCAGGCCCGGAGTCCCTGAGGTCAGTCTTGATGGTCTCCCTCCCTTCCTCCCTCCCAAGAAAGAGAGGCCTTCAAAGGAAAGCCAGAGGGGTCTCAGCAGGAGAAGCTCCAGGCTGCCATTCTCCTCCTCTCCCCAATCTAAAAACTTGAGCCTCCATTTTTCAGACATTGCAAGAAAGACAGAAATTCATCAGCTACTGGAAAAAAAACCTTCCTTTCCCATCAGGAATCAGGAAGGACGGCAGGATTAATTCACAAGTGCTGAAGAAAAAGAGATGAGGAAGAAGATTAGAATATAAACCTTCAGGGTAAATAACATATTATTATTACAGCCTCCCCAGGAAGACCCACACTGCAGGGGGGTGGTTGATAGGCAGGGACAGGATGAGGGAGAATCCCCACCCTTTCAGGGAGGAAAAGGATGCAAAGGACCAGCAATTCACCTTCAGGGGCTGATGGAATTTTCTCTAATTGGCTTAATTAGGGAGTTAATCAAGATGAGGCCTCCCCCACAGACGTTTCATATTAACAAAGAGGATGGGGCCAGGATGGGGGAGGGGTGGAAGCAAAGCTAGGTGTCACTTTGCCAGGAATTATGTGAAATGTCACAAGGAGACTTCCCTTCTCTTTTGCAATTTCCCAAAACCTGGAAACCTCCTGGGACAGATTTTAGTGTTTATGTGTGTGTGTTTGTTTTTCATTGCACTGTTTTCAGGTCTCTGTAATGAAAAGCTACCCAAAATTTCAAAAATTTGTGTTATCCACATCTAGGATGTTTTGTTCGGGCACATTTTTCTTTTAAAGGAACAATTAACGAATGTAAACGAAACATCTATAACTTGGGGAGAAACTCACCTGCAGGAGGCTGGATGGGAATTGATGGAATGAGAAAAAGACCCAATCAGGATCCTTTGTGGGATGGAGGACTCGGGGGGGGCTCCCTATTCGATAGCCCATAATAGGTTGCAAGATGATCACTTATACAGTAGACCCTCAAAGAACAGAATTTCCCAAGCAAATCTCCAAGAGGGCCTCCTTGCCATCTTCTAAGCTTTCTGAGAGGCCTCCCCTGGATGGTCCCCTCCCCACAATCTCTTATCCAGTCCCCCAGACTCACCTTTCTTGCTCTTCAGGTAAAGGGAGAGCCCCATTGCAAAGAAGATCAACCCGATCATGGCTGCCACAATCCCCGTCCAGAGTTTGCTCCTGGCAGAATTGGAGGATCGGGGCTCTGGGGAAGGAGAAGGAGCCTCACTGAGTAGGAAGATCAGGGCCAGCTTCCCCCCCAGGAGGGTCCATCCCAGCTCCCCCCACAGGAAAGGTCTCTCCCCCTTCTCAGGGCAGGAGAGGGGTCCCCAGAGGGGGAGGGGAGGGGCTCACCCCACTTGATGGTGATCGGGGCCTCCAGGCTGGCATGCTCCACCTGGCAGGTGTAGACGTCCCCCCACTGGGGCTGGGTCTCTAGCATCACCTGGAACTGGTAGGTCCAGTCTCCGTTCTGGAGCTCCTCCCCAAAGGCCACGCCCTCCTCCTCCGGCTGGCCATTTTTCAGCCACTGGATCTCGATCTCCACAGGGTAGAAGCCCCTCGCAATGCAGAGGAGGATGGTGTTAGGGGAAGTGGGATCCAGCTTGGTGGGGGAGATGGAGATGGTGGGCTTGGCTGGAGGGGAGGAGGGGGAGGAAAGACATGGGGGGGAGAGACATAGGAGGGGCAAGAACAGGAGACCAAGTGGGTTAGTTCAGGCCAAGAGCCCTTTTCAGTCCTGAAAATAGTATTTGTTTTAAGTCATTTCCAAAGCAAATTGCAGCAAGAAATTAAACGGGATCCTGAAAGATGGAAAAACATAAATCGTTCCTGGTTGGGATCAGTTTCCATCATCAAATTGCACAAGACCAACAGAAATAAATATTGGAAACGCCCCGGAACGGAAGGAATTTCCTGCCAGATTTGGGGGAGACAGAAAGAGACCCAGAAGACGGGGAAGACACACAGCATGTTTTGGAGAATTACAGGGATCCCATTCAAAAGAAAACCACATTTTTAAAAAAATAGGTAGAATACCAGAACATTTATTTATTTATTAAATTTGTTTGCCACCATCTCATGATAAAATGACTAGGCAGCTTACAGCAGGGCTTTTCAACTGGTGGTATGTGTATTACCTGTGGTACATGAGCACATGACAGATGGTATGCTGCCCTGCCCAGCCAAGTGTAGTGGGGGAGGGAATAAGCCAGCACAGGCAAGAACTTACTGTGAGAGAGTCCTCTGGAGCTGCAGAGTGGCTGGGGCGAGGCAAAGTCCCCAGACTCACTTCTGGTTCACCCCCTCTCCCATGAGAAAGGAAGAAGAGGGCGCAGAGACAGGAGATGCTATAAAAGGAGGCAGTTTGGGTTGGGAGAAGGAGAGAGAGGAGGTGGAGTCAGCTCTAGCTGCACAGAATGGAAAGGAGGGTGGGGAGAGAGGAGAGGAGATCAAGCAGGCCGGCCACAAGTGGATCTGCAACTTCTGTGGCAGCCACCTGTGCTGGCAATAACCAAGAGGCAAGGAACATAGGGAGGAGGGGTTGCTTTCCACAAGGAATGAAGAAAGGCAGCAATGAAGAAAGGCTGGAGGTGAGGCAAGGAGGGAGATGGAGAGTGGAAGGATTCTTTTGTGCTTTTGTGACTTTGAAGTTCTGGGATTTGTGCAATGGGGGCTTTGTTTTCTTAAGGAGTGTTTGGCAATTTCTATTTGGCTGATGGCTGATGTCTCGTGTTAGCTTCTACTGCTCTGCTATTGTTAGGTGTAACATTTGCTGCAAGGGATTTTGAAGTATTTTTCTCCTGAATGGATTTTGCCTGTACTTACAAATGGAGACATTTGGGGAGGCTGCCTTAGGCAGCAGCCATACTTACTACATTTTTTTTCTTCCTTAAGTACCAACTGCACTCCTTAACTTTCCTTTTTAGCCAGTAGCTAATTCTTAAAGGGGAATGCGCCTTTTTAAGCTAGTTCCCTCAATGGCTTGTCTTTTCTGTCTCTGGTGGCTTTTCCTTGTTCAATGAATATATGGAAGAAGGGAAATTGGGGGGGGGGTCAAATTCGTCCTTCAGAAGGAGATGGGAATGAGAAAGAGGGAGGGAGGGAAGGAGGGATGGATGGAGGGAAGGAAGTCCCGCCTTAGCACTTAGCCACCAGCAGCCCTGCCAATGACTTTGCTTGTCAAAAGGTTGCAGAAGGGGATCATATGACCCTGGGACACTGTGACCATCATAAATATGAATCCGTTGCCAAGCATCCAAATATAAATCACATGATCCTGGGGACACTGAAATGGTCATAAGTGTGAAAAATGGTCATAAGTCATTTCAGTGGAATTGCAACTTTGAACAGGGTTTTTTTTTTGGTCATCAAGTGTTTGACACCTTGCTGGGTGGTACTCGAATATTGCCATATATCCTAAAAGTGGTACAGTCGGTGAAAAGGTTCAAAAGCCCTGGCTTACAGCATTAAAACATTAAAATCCTAACAGATAAATATTTCTATAGCAATCAAAATGGAATTCCCAGTCAAGATAAAATTATAGTTAAAAGATGGGGAGGAACAGGAGGTGTGGGGGGGAGGGGGGATTGCCTCTCAATTCAACAACTACCTCCAATGTGAGGCTCCCCATTGGGACCCCCTGATTTTGAGCCAGATTTCGCCTAATCTGTGCTGGAACCTTTGGTTTTTTCTGCCCAGGTTCCCCCCCAACCTCTCCCTGCAGCTTCCGGCCTCCCTCCCAGCCCCATTTCCCCACGGGAGGAGGTGGGGGGGCAGGGAGGGGTCTAGGACAACTCAGCCAACTCAACGCGGCACAAAAGTTACACAATAAGGAAGAAATGGAGAAAGAGAATCAGGAAAGGAAGGAGGCTGAGGGAGGAGGAAAATGCAATGTGAAGGACAAAAATTTAAAAAACATTTTAAAAATTATTTTAAATAATTAAATAAAATTGTTGAATTGTCCTGCAGTGAATTGCCCCATTCTAAGCAGGGAGGGGGGAAAGGATCTGGGGAGGGGATCTTGAGGTAAGGGAGGGTGGGGGCTGAGGAGATCAGGCAGATCCCAAGATCACAGAAGAGACTTGGAAGGGATCCCTCTTGATCTCCTCCTCCGCAAATGGCACAACTCTTGGGTGGATTAATGGGGGGGAGGGCTGGGTGACCCCCCCCAAGAGGGTCCTTCTTAGATCCACTCCAGATCAGAGAACCTTTGCTAGCAACGTTTTTCTCCGTTGAGGGATTCTCTTATGAACAGCTCATTATATAAAGTTTAAGAACATGCAATTTTTAAAGGTTTGGTTATTTGTAATTGAATCCTGGGATCTGGCTGGGATTTTTTTATGAACAGTTAATTATCCTCCTAGGTTTTCAGGGAAGAATTTAGGAGTAAAAATGAATTCCAGACTGAATATACAGAGAACAAAATCTGTGTCAGTTCCCCTTAAATATTACATAACTTCTGGAAGGAAATTTCTCTTGGGATCTGGCGGTTTTTCTCTCGTGGAAGAAAGATCTTATTTAATTCTTTGGTAGCCTATTATTTTGGGAGACCCTGGCAACAACAAATGGCAACAACTGCAGATGAAACACTTGTTTTGCACTATGAAACCTTTTCGGCTGATAGAAATAAATAAGGTTTTTTAATATAAACAAATAAAACTAGACCAACAAACATAGGCAATTTGCCAGGAATCTGGAACAGGGAACTAAACAATCTGAGGCTTCATGGCTGAATGAAGGCCTGAAATTCAGTTTTAATGTTTGTGGGGTTTTTTTGAATCTTTGCCCCCAAATGAGGAACCTTCCCAGATACGAAGAGGGAAGCGATTCGGCTGCAGGTGAAGCTGAATCTCTGACCAAAAAGGGGGTTTCGGGGGGGGGCTTTTCTCCCAGACCCCCAACATTGGATGAACAAATGACTCTGAATAAAGAATAAAAAGAACTGAAAGAAGGACAGGGCCCAGCAGACAAAAGAGCCTTCCCTGATTCCCTTTTCCAGACCTTTGGAAGTTCACTTTTTATCCTAAAATCCCAAAGGCCCCAGAGGTGAAGGGAGCCCCTCCCCCACTCCTGGCCTTCCGGAAAGGGGTGAAAAAGGGGGCTCTGGGGCTTTTGTTGGGGGCACAGGGGAGGAGGCAGCCATGGGGCTGGTCAGCCTCCTGAAGCCCCCCACCCCCATGAACTTTTATCACTGGATTTGAATCATTCCTGCCTTTTAAATCTTAAATTCTATAGATTATTTTGGCGGTTTTATATTTTATGTGTACACCATGCAAAGTCCTTCTGTGGGAGAGAGAGAGAGACAGTTTTTAAAAGTTGATAAGTAAATCAATAAGGAAATATTATTGATTTATTAATATAAAATATTATATTGAAATATTATACAGCATCTAGATTATATTGAGATATATCTATATAGTGGGCAAGGGAGAGACTTTGCTGGATTCCTCCCCCCCTCAGAAAAATATAATATTTGGTATAATATTCTGGAAAGAAGTTTTTCTGGGCAGGGGAAACTTTGGACCCTGGGAAGAGAAGGAAGATCATGGAACTGATGGGAAGGAGAGGAATCTATTGCTTCCTTTTGGCATGTTTCATTGTCATCACTGTAGAATTTCAAACTTTTTAAAGATAATTTATTTTTTAACCTTATTTTTTATACATTTTTATTTAGGGGTGATGTTATATCCAACTACACCATCCAGATGCCCACTTAGAGGGAGGGGAAGGGATTAGGAGTCTCAATAAATAGCAATAAATACCAATGGGTAAATTTGATAGATCGGAGGGCACAGAATACATCAGGGGCAAATCTTTCTCCGGGAGAGTCCTAAGAAATGAAAGGAAAAGGGGGGGCTGCATTCCCCCCCATGGAACTCCCCCTCCCGCACTCACCTCTCCGGCCAACCACGGAATCTCTCTGGAAAACCTCGTAGTTGTTGCGGCAGAAGTGATCCACTCGGGCCTTCTCGTCCTGCAGGAAAGTTCTGCATTGGGGAGGGGAAGGTCTCCCGTCTGCTTCCTTCCCTGGGATCTTCAGCCGGAACCAGGACACCTTGTTGTATAATCCCACCTTTTTTTAAACTGTGATTTAAATTTTAACCTTATCTTTATTCAAGGACACCCCCCCAGAGCCCCTCTTTGGGGGAAGGAGGGGGGCGATTTAGAAGGATCCATCAATAGCGACAGAGAGAAATGAATAAATTTCGTGGATCTGAGAGGAGAGAATGTATATAAGGAGAGAATCTTTCTCCGGGAGAGTCCTAATAAGTGAAAGGAAGTGGGGGTCCCGGGGTCCCCTCCTCCCCCACTCACCTCTCCGGCCCACCATCTGACCAGTCTTGGCTGTCTCCTAAAGTGGTGCTGGCACCCCCCTCCCAGGGAAGCCCCCGCTCACCTCTCCGGCCAATCAGACGCTCCTCCCTCTTGGCCACCTCGTAGTTGTACACCCTGTAGTTGTGCCGGCAGACGGAATCCACTTCGGCCCTCAGGTACTGCAGATAGACCTTATCACTGTTCCACATGTCCACATCGGGCTGCCCCAACGGAGTGATGGCCACGAATTTCCTGAGGTCGCTGTCGAAGTAGTCGATCTCCTGCCGGTCGTAGATGCTCCGGTCCAGGAACCGCACCCGCTGCGTCCCGTTGAAGAAATGGCACTCGAGCTTCCACTGGAGAAGGAAATGGGCTGCAGGGAGGAGGAGGAGCAGAAAGAAGAAAGCCCTCAGGAGGGACTCCAGGGCCCATGGTTCCCAGCGGCCACTAGAGGAGGGGTGGAGCAACGGGAGACCTGCCACGAGGGACTGCTGGAAGGCGCCCCCTGGGAGAGGGATGGGGAACCGTCGGTCCCAGCAGGATTCCCCCTTGGTGGGGGTCTGGAGGGGGGAGGAAAATGAGGGAGGGGGGAAAGAGCTTCCCGAGGGACCCCCCCCTCCACCCCCCCGAGGGTGGAAAAAGGCAGGCAGAAGTTCAACCGATCCAGGCCTCCATCATCTGCAGGGAACGCTGGATCCCATTGGCCCCCTTTGCCCCCCCCTTCCCAAACCGGCAGGAAATATGGGGGGAGAGAAGAGACCCCCCCCCCTCTGGGCTGCAGGGAAAATAATATCCAAGCTTCTCTTTCCCTCTTCCTTTTGGGAGCAGAAGGGAAGGGGGTCACAATCAGGATACCCACACCCATGCTCCTGGGCTCTCCCCACCCTTCAACCCCCATCTTTCTTTTCCCCCCCTCTGCCCCATCTTCAGCCCCACAAGCTGCCTTTGGGTACTTTTCCAGGCCTCTTTTCTGTCCCCCTCCCCCCTGCAGCCCCCCAAGGTCACCTCAAAGGGAGGGTCCAGCCCCCTTCACTAAAGGGGGAGTTTGGAGGAGAAACCCAGACCCCCCCCCTCCAATATCCCTCCCAATAGAAGCAGAGAAGGTGAGGGAGGGGAAGATTTTCAGTCTTGGGGGCTGCAACTTCAAGGGGATGTTCAGGATGTGTGTGGACTTCCTTTTTCGCCCCCCTCCATGAATCTGAGCCACAGTACCCCTTTCTCTATGTGCCTGCAGGGGTGGACTAGATGCTCCTTTAAGCTCCCTTAAGACCCCCCCCCATGAGGGAGTCCAGGCTGGGTCTGCTGAGACTTCGGAAGGGCCGAAGGGAGCCGGGGGTATCTCAGGAGACCCTCCCTCCCCCTGGTCTCACTTGGCCCAAAGGGGCTTCTCCAAAAGGCAGCTGGACTTTCCTGGTTCTTCCCTTGAAGACGTTTCGCTTCTCATCCCAGAAGCTTCTTCAGTTCTGACCGAAGGGTGGAGGGTGGAAGGATGGATGTTCCTTGCGGTCATTTGGTCATTTTGAAAGTCTGTCCCTGGTTCTGTGAGGGGCCTTGAGGACCCCTAGAGGTTTATCTGGGTCCTCAGGGTTCCCTGAATTGGGGGGGGGCAAAGGGGTGGGGAGCCTTCCTGGGGCTGCCGAAAGAACCCCGTTGTAGGCAGGAGATCGGGGGTCCTTTCCCTCCCCCCACTCTGTTGAGGGGGACTGCTCAAGTTTCACCTAGATGGCTTGGGGATCTGGGGATCTTGGGGAGAAGAGAACCCCCAGATTCCCTAGTTACCCCCAAATTTTCTTTCCCACCAACTTAATTGCCATTGCGTGATTTGGGGATTCAGCCCTCTTTTCTGTCACCCTGAAGCCCCCCAAGACCACCTCAAAGGGAGCATCTCCAGCCCCCCCTCAACAAAGAAATCGTTTTGGGGAGCCAATTTAGGGGAGCAATTCAGACCCCACCCAATCTCCCTCCCTCTCAATCCCCTGCAGGTCGCAATTCAGCAATGGGGGAATATGGGGTGGGGGTTCTGGGTCTCCTCCCCAAATTGAGAGTCTCCCCCAAGAAGGAATCCAGCTCAACTCTTCCCTCCCCTTAAAAAAATGGAGGTTCAGAAGAAAAACTGAGGGTGTAAAAACACTTTTGCCAAAAAAAAACCCCTCTTATACTCTTTGCTGGCCTTTGTGGATTCAGCTCTGAAAATGCCTCAGTTTCCCTCTTTCGCTTTCGCTTTCTGTCTTCTTCCTCTTTCAGTGCAAGACACTTTGGGGCTCAGGAGCTAATTTGGGGTTCGCAAGGTCCCCCTCCCACCCACGGGGGGGGCGAGAGAGGGGGTCCAGCTGCCTCTTATCCAATCTCGGCTGCCTTCTCACGACCCTCGCCCACCTCGGCCATAATTAGGGAACGGGGGCTCCCTCTTCGCCCTGTGGGGGGGGGAAATGCGGCGAGGGAGGGAGACCACGCGGAGATCGAGGCACCTGCAGTCTCCCGCCTCTCTTGCCTTCGACCTCTTTCCCTACTTCAGGGGTCTAAGCCCCTTTCTCCCCCCCCTCAGGAGCACTGAGGCCCCCTCCCAACCCCTCCCCGAGCCCCCTCCTTACCGGGCGTCTCCTGCCCCCCTTCGCTTCCGGGGATCCGGGCCAGCGCCCCCGCCAGCAACAGAAGGGGGACCCCAACGGAGCCCATGGACGCCGCCCCACCAGCGCCCCCAAAGGGAGGGGAGAGAGACGCGGAGGCTCCCAGCCCCAGAGGCGGAATCGGGGGGGTCTGGATTGGGGGGAGGGGGCATTTCCCTCGTATTTCAGAATTGGGAGGGCCCAGAAAAGTGGAAGGACCAATGGGAATTCTCCCTTCTTCATCGACATCGGTCTCCGGGCAGAGCCTCCCTTGAGTTCATCCACACGAGGAGACAGTGCGAAGCCGAGAGAGAAGCGGAGAAAGTTGGAGGGGGGGGGGAATCCCTTCAGTCTGGGGGGGGGGGCTGCATTTTAGGGAGCCGTTTGATGCCAGCTCCGGAGAAGAGAGAAGCGGCACTCGCACGTCCCCTTGTGCAGAAAATGGGGTGAGAGGGGGAGGAGGAGGAGGAGGAGGAAGAAGAAGAAGAAGAAGAAGAAGAAGAAGAAGAAGAAGAAGAAGAAGAAGAAGAAGAAGAAGAAGAAGAAGAAGGAGGAGGAGGAGGAGGAGGTCAACAGGGACTCCGAGGCCCATGGTCCCCAGCCTCCCCTCGAGGAGGGACACAGGCTTGTGAGAGGAGGGGAGGGAAACCTACCGCAAGAGGCTACCGGAAGGCGCCCCCTGGAGGATAGATGGGGAACCGTCGGTCCCAGCGAGATTCCCCCTTAGTGGGGGGTCGGGAGGGGGGAGGAAAATAAGGGAGGGGGTAGCTTCCTGAGGGACCCCCCCATCTTCCCAGGGTGGAAAAAGGAGGCAGAAGTTCAGCTGGTCCAGCACTTGGTCTAAGTATCTGCAGGGAACGTTGGATCCCGGTGGGGCCACTTTGCCCCCCAAACTGACAGGAAATATGGGGGGAGAGAAGAGACCCCCTCTGGGCTGGAAGGGAAAATAATACCCATGCTTCTCTCTCCCTCTCCCTTTCCGGGCCATAAGAGGCGGGGGTCACAATCAGGATACCCACACCCATGCTCCTGGGCTCTCCCAGCCCTTCAAGCCCCCCCTTCCCTTTTCCCCTTCCCCCCCCGCCCCCATCTTCAGCCCCACAAGCTGCCTTTGGATGCTTTTCGAGGCCTCTTTCCTCTCCCCCGCCCAAATAGACCCCCCTGCAGCCCCGCAAGACCCTCTCAAAAGGAGGGGCTCCACCCCCTTCACTAAAGGGACAGTTTTGGGGAGCCAATTTAGGGGAGCAATTTAGAGCACCCCAATATCCTTCTCCCTCAGTTCCCCCCTCCCCTCCAGGTCCCGATTCAGCAATGGGGGAATATGGGATGGGGGTTCCGGGTCTCCTCCCCAAATTCAGAGTCTCCCCCAAGAAGGAATCCAAGCTCAACTCTTCCCTCCCCTTAAAAAAAATGGGGATTCAGAAGAAAAACTGAGGTTGCAAAAACACTTTTGGTGGCTTCTCTGGATTCAGCTCTGAAAATGCCTCAGTTTCCCTCTTTCGCTTTCGCTTCCCTTCTCCTTCCTCGTTCAGTGCAAGAAACTTTGGGGGTCAGGAGCTAATTCGGGGTCCGCCAGGTCCCCCCCCATCCAGCCACGGGGGGGGAGGGGCGAGAGAGGGGCACAGCTGCCTCTTATCCCTCCTGGGCTGCCTTCCCGCGACCCCCGCCCCACCTCGGCCACAACAAGGGAAGAGGGGAGGGGGCTCCCTCTCCGTCCTGCGGGGGAAAATGAGGCGAGGCAGGGGCGGAGACCGCGCGGAGATCGAGGCTCCCGCAGTCTCCCGTCTCTCTTGCCCTCGAAACCTTTCCCCACTTCTGGGGTCCCAGCCCCTTTCTTCCCCCACCCCCAGGGGCTCTGACGGCCCCTCCCAGCCCCTCTCCTCGCCCCGCCCAGCCCTCTCCTTACCGGGGGTCTCCTTCCCCCCTTCGCTTCCGGGGATCCGGGCCAGCGCCCCCGCCAGCAGCAGCAGCATCAGGGGGAGCCCAGCGGAGCCCATGGACGCCGCCCCACAAGCGCCCCAGAGAGAGAAGAGACAGAGACTCGGAGGCTCCCAGCCCCAGAGGCGGAATCGGGGGTTCTGGATTGGAGGGGAGGGAGCGTTTCCCTCGAACTTCGGAACTGGGCGGGCCCAGGAGAGCGGAGGGACCAATGGGAATTCTCGCTTCCGCAGCGTCATCGGTCTCCAAGCAGAGCCTCTCTTGACTTCGCCCGATGGAGGAGAGTTCGGCGCAGAGAGAAGCGGAGAAAGTGGGAGGGGGGGGGATCTTTTAAGTCTTGGGGGGGCTGCATTTTAGGGGGGCGTTTCATGCCAGCTCCGGAGGGGAAGGCGGACTTCCTTTTGCGCCCCCCCTCGTGATTCTCAGCCAGAGCCTCCTTTTCTCTGTGTGTCTGGAGGGGTGGACTAGATGCCCTTTCGGTTCCCAGAGGGAGCCTAGAGCAAAGTGGAGGCAGAGTTTGAGGGCTCCTCCTGGGCTCGCCCGCTCAGTTTGGGGTCAGGAAGCCCCCCACAGCATTGGACCATGTGTGTGGAGGGGACTGCGGACACACGTACACACACACACACACATACACCCTAACTCCTAAGACAATCGATACCCACGTTTAAGGGCTCTGGGATGAAACCTACAGTGCTGAGTGGGGAGTCCTATTCCCCCCCCCCCATCTGGGATCGCTATGCTGCAGCCGGGGAGATTTCTGTAAGTGTGAAGTTGCGTCCTTTCCCTGCAGGAGGGAGGGAGGGAGGGGGCTCCGCTGGGGGGGGGGTCATTGCCGATCAGCAGGGGCCCTCCTCCTCCTGGGGGTGCAGGCCCCACAGAGAGTGGCCCCCTTGGCCTGTCCCAATTCTGCCCCCCTGAAGGGCTGCAGGAGCGGAGCCGTGTCGGGGTTCAGCCCGGAGCCAGGAGCGTCCGGGGCAGCTTCCCCTCCCCTCCTCCCGTCAGATGCAGGAGGGGCTGGGCTGGGGGAAGGCTTGGGGGGAGGGGAGTGGAGAGAAGGGAGGGGGGAGACCTCAGACTCAGAGACTCATAGGATGGAGAGGACCCTTGAGATCTTCTAGTCCACCCCCCTGCTCGAGGCAGGAGTCCTTATTCCACAACCTTCTCCTCGAAGACCTCCAGGGATGGAGCCCCCCCCCCCAATTCCAGGTTCCACTGATTGATTGGGTCTCACGGGCAGAAGATCCCTCCCGATCCCTTCCAGGTCGGATCCCCCTCGGAGGCTCCGGACGGTCCCATCTTCCCTCCCAGGCTGAGCGACCTTCTCCGGGCTTCGGCTTCGGTCAGCCGCCGGGGGATCCCTGGCGAGGCTGCCCCCCTCCGGGATCTGCCTAAGAGATCCCCAAGGGAGCGAGGGGGATCCCGAGGGCGGGAGTGGGTCTCCACCCGGTCTCCTCCTCCGGGAAGGGCCGCGAGTGGATCTCCCCTCCCATCCACGGAAAGCCCGGCCGAGACCCCCGTTCCCCCCTCCTCTCCCGGCCGAAGCCCCGGATCCGGGAATCTCCCCCGAGGGATCCGGGAATCTCCCCCGAGGGATCCGCGGCTCTTCCTCGCTCCGCCCGGCCCGATTCTCCGCCAGGGGAGCTTCAGGCGCGGCTTTTCCTCCCGCGTGGAGATTCCGGGCGGGTTTTTCTCCACGACCCTCTCCGGCTTTTCTACGGGGGTTCCTCGAAACCCTCTTTTGAAGGGAAAGACCGTTTCCAAACACGGGCAGCCTTTCCCGCCCTTCCAAATCTCCGCCTTAATTCGAGATAAAGACTAACAAAGTCCCCGACAGCCCCGAAGACGCGGAGGAAGGAAAAGAGGATTCCGAGATTCAGGTCTGGCCAAAGGATTTCAGCTCCATCAATCGGAGAAAGAATTCCCAGGATGAGCAGGACAGAATTCCCCATTCCCGCCTTTCGCCCTTTGCCAGGGAATTCAGCATTTTTACTGACTCCCCCCTGGCCCAGCACCAGCCCCGGCAGGCCAGAGCCGGGTCCCCCCCCCCGCAGCCGAAGGAGGGCGGAGTCCGCATCTGCCCCCAGTTCCGTGTCTGGACACAGCCGGTCGCCCAAAGTCTGTCCCGGATCCAGGCAGCTTCTGGGGGGGAGGGAGGGGCCCCCCTCGCTCGCCTGACCCGGGCAGAACCCCTGGGCGTCTTTCTTGCTTCCCCCCCCCAAAAAAAATATTGTGATTTTCTCCGAGTTCTCCCTGCCAGTCCCTAAACACACGCACACGCGCGCGCGCACACACACACACACACAGAGAGCAACTCCTTTCCACAACCCCCGAAGAGGCGCTTGAGTCCCGCTTCCTCCCCCCCCTCCCCCGGCCTGAAGCGCTGGGCTCCCCCGAAGCGGAACCGAGGAACTGGCCCTGATCCAGCAGGCAACAAGCCCGGATTCTTCCCCGGGGCAGCTCCGGGACTCTCCCGCTTCTCCCCGTGGCTGAGTCTCCCCCTCGGTCCTTTGTCCTCCCCCGCGGAAGAGATTTAGGGGTCCCTCCCGACCCCCGAGGAGACCCCGGACAGCCCAGGGAACAAAACGAGGGAGGGTTGGAGAAACGTCACCTGGGAGACTCGGCTCTGGGGGGGGGGAGAGGTTGAAGGGGCTCTGATGCCGGGAAAGGTGGAAGGAGAGAGAGGGAAAGGAGGAGAAGCAGGGAGGGGGAGGGGCTCAGCTGCAGTGGGGGGAGGGGGATGCTGAGGGAGGACCTGGAGGAGTGGGGGGAGGGTCTCCCCAGAAAAAATCTGTTCATGGGGGGATTAAACGTTGACACCAACTTGATGGCACAAACCATCTTTAGCCTATCCGGTTAAAGGAGATCTCTGGTCTTTTCTCCACCAGTGAAAGCGGTGGGGATGGTGATGACTAAACTACAGTTCATTTCATGGCTGTTCAAAGTTACAGTGGCACTGAAAAAACTTCACCTCATATTTCTTTTTTTATTTTTTTTATTTTTTTTAATGTTTTTTTTAATAATTTCATGTACTGTATATACCTGTGTTTAGCTTTGTGTATCCAACCCAGTCACTTGTTCTGAGATGGGTGGTTATATAAATTTGATAGCTAGATGATATAGCTAGTAAGGGGAGGGGTAGAGATAGATAGAGAGATGTGAGAGAGAGAGAAAGAAAGAGAGAGAGATGATAGACAG